CATCAAATTGTTTAAAGTTTTCAAGTTATTTATTTGCTTTTATAGACAGAGTTGACAGTCAGTTATGTTCATGTCTTAACCTGGGATTTTATATGAGTGCTGGAGCGTATTTTACTGATACCAGCAGTATGATTAAAGTTGAATACTGAATGCCTGTGTGAGGAATCCTACTGTATTCCTCCATTTCTGTGCCTGTTTTCCTCTGTTCAGAAGAATATGGATATTGTGTCCCTAGCAATTTGGGTCAGCCATGGGTTATTATGCTCCTTGTGTTTACCCTTATTCTGTGGAGAGCCTGGGCATACTGCATAATAGTAGTGTTTGTTTTCTAGCTTGTGTTTCATGAAGTCAGATGTCTTGATGGCCACTATTGAAATGTATGTATTTATGTAAATCTTCTTGGTTTAGTGAGGGTGCTTCAGGTTTGTGGAACTTTATAAAAGGATCCAAAACAGTAATTACCAGATAGGATTTAAATGTCATTTTTATTGTGTGTATATATATGTATGTAAACATAGTTGAAAACACTTTTCAAATAAATATTATATTAACAGTGAATAATGGATAAAACAATGAAAGCTGTTAATAAGATGTGATGTGCTCTTTTTTCCATTGTATAGTGCTTTCCAAGTAAAGATACAAGATGTTTAATAAACATTCCCAGACTATTTAAATGCCAAAGTGATGGAGCTGATGCAATGTAAAATATAAAGTAGTTGTAAAAACACGCAGACATGCAAGCATACAGCTGCCAGACATAATTTAAAGGTGGCTTTCTTAGCCCATTTAAAAGTGCGTTCCAGGTTATACAGATTAGCCATTCTGATGCCGATCTGAGGTTTGTCATCAAAAGCGGGCTGTAAACAAACTGTATTATCTCACTGTCTTGATTAACAGACATGTGACACTGAGTGTGATTTCATAAGGTGCTTTGCACCTCCAACTAAGTACTTACTGCAGTTATTTCCATAGTGATTGATGGATGTGAAATCAAGGTAGGTTTCATGCAAGTAAATTGTGGATGAAATTAAATATCTTCTGATGTATACAGTTGACTGACATAAGAAGTTTTTATTTATATTAAAGACAATATAGCTTATGAATGTCTCTAGCACTGTGCATGATCCATTCTTTTGGATGAAAATATAATTGTATACTTGTGTTCTGGATGAGAACGCATTCGTTTTGAACCTGTAGAAATTGGCTCGTGTGTACACTAACCAAAGTCATATCTTCTTCCTAACTGTGATGTGGTAAGTGTTTAACATTATGAGATGAAACAGTGCAATCTGCGTGAGGGTACTGGTTCAGCAAAGCTTAGATTCAGAAGTTCCCATTTGCTTAGTCTTGAAAGCAACCATAACAACTACTTTTTTTTTCAGGTTGCCGGCACAGCAAACATCCAAGCAACCTCTCTTGTCTTATTACCACCATAAGTCTTTTGGTGTGTGTGTTTTGCTGCCTAACTTTAAAGAAGTAGAAATAATTTATCTTTTAGGATACAGATCAATAGACAAGTAAAAGTTCATGTAGTCGCAAAGTAAAAATTATATTATAGTCAGCAAGCTATGGTGTGAAGCACAAAGTTCGGAAACACGCCTCATTTTGTTACTGAATTACTTAAAAGGCTAATTTTAATAATGGCTATCCACTACCTGTAATTTTTGAACTTTTTTTTCAATTTTCTCCTATTACCAAGCTCACTGAAAACACAATGCAAAAAATTGAGATTCTGAACATTTGCTCACAACTTTTGAGCCAACTAATGAGCTGGATGGCTTGTAGGAAGGGTTCTTCAGATGTGGCAACCTACCACTTGTGGTGTGCAAACTACCTCAGCAAAGATAATCCATCCTCACTGCCGTTTCTCCAGAGGAGGTGGAGGCACAGAGACATGAGAGATGGCTGTTAGGATCACTACTTCTGTGTGACAAGACGAAGATATAGGGCTAGACAGCAGAGAACCAGATGCTGCTATTACTGCAGCAAGGATGTATTGCAAATCTTTCCATGACAATAGCACCAGACAAATTTTTACTTTACAAGCAACAATCTTAAAGCAATATAAAGGTGATCTGCTTTTTTGTGTTTTGTAAAGATCTGGTTTTTTCACTAATGTGTATTGTCTCTGAAGAACAAATATTCAGAAACATTTAATTTTTGAAATGATTATGTAAAGTAGTTTTGTAGTAAATCAGTTAAACGTTCTGGTAACTTTGAAAATTGAAATATCCTCAATTACTCTCTTTCAAAGAAAATAAATGAAATGTTGGAGAGAGATATACAGTAGTTTCTGACCTAGTAGCTTAAAAATATTTTTATAGTTTGTTATTCTTCATTGGTAATCATCATAACGGTGTGTTTCAGTTATGTATAGCACTCTAGCCTAGACAATGGCTATGAATGATGTGAATGAGTCAGTGTTCAAAATTTTTCCAAATCCTGTTCATTGTATAGTCTAGTCTACTGGTGCACAGAATTTAGTGGTCCTTGGAAGAGATGAGGGGAAGGGAGACTTTTGGTTTATTCTAAGTTTACTGACTGGGTCTTTCCTATATTAGGGACGCACATGGAAGAGAGTGTTTCGGCAGAGGGGGGAAGAGTTTTTTTTTTTTGAAAAGGAAACAGTTTTATCTATAGATGATGATGATTTTCTGTGGCCATCAGCAAATCTCAGTATCTTGCAAACTGATGCACAGTCTTTTGCATGGTGATCTTGATATGTATTTGCCTTCTGGGCTTGTATAAACGCTGTAGAATAGGTTTGTGTAGACCGTTGTGCCAATGAGCTCCTGAAACACAAAAGGGCATTCAAGATGCTAAGAAAAATATGCATATGCATATAGACAGACAGACACACACAGAGGAAAAATATTGTTGGCATCTTAGTATGGCTAATCTGATTTTGTTGCATTTGTGAAGAATGGAGAATGTAGGTTGAGATCTATGGAAGAATGTGTTTAGAGGAAATGCACTTTGGATTTCTGTACCCAGCTTAATTCCTCATTTCTTTTAAAATGGGCAAATGATAAAATTCCATATGTGTGTGTGTGTATTTAAATATATAATTCATATTGAGTTTGAGAGTAAATGGGTCAACAGAAAATTGGGGGTGGGAAATGTTACTGTCAAGCTCCAGGCTCCTTTGCCAATTTCTTAAGCAACAGTATGCACCGTGATTTACAAATTAAGGTGCCATTTCTTTCATTGATTTTTCTGTGTAGTTCTGAAAGATTGTACTCAAATGATGCAATTCTTTTAAAAAAAAATTTAAGAATATGCATCATAACAGATGATACATAGTTTCACTCTACTACTAATATTGTGCTTGCTTTGGTGAAATAAGAAATTATATTGTCCTATTACTTGAAACACTGGTGTATATATAGGACTGCTTGTGTGAGTTCAGCTATTCACATTGGTTTGCCTTTTTGGATGCTTGGTATACATTGGATACTTAACTGCACATAGATTTAAGAATTTTCAAACTAAAGCTTTAAAAAGCAATCTCTTACTTACAATTTCTTGTTTTCTGTTTATATAAAAGGTTTTGCATTTACGTGTGTATATTTATATATGAAATTTTATATGTTATTTATTTGTATGTGTGTAACAGTGAAATTTTAAACATGTAATAGTATGGAAAAATTAAGCTAAAAAGTTGTTATTAAAGTCAAATCTTGCTGTATTTCTAATTTAAAATGAATACTTCTTAACAAAATGTTTGCATCTGCTAGCAATTGAATCACCAATCAACTAATTTATTACTAAAATAAACTTTGCCAATAAGAAATCTAGGGTGGGGCTATTCTAAAACAACAATATACAGTGTATGTGTCATAAAATGATTCTCTTCCCCTCAAGCCTTAGCTACAGTGCAGTATAACAATAATTGAGCAGTAAAGATTGTTTATGCAATTTCACTAGGTACATAATGATCAAAATTTGTGGAAACATTGTATAAAAATTCAAGCATCTGGTAGTAATGTATCCAGTGTGCCAAGCTTCAGACAATTGAAACTGATCATGATTGCGCAAATGTTAGAAATGGTATAGAATACTCATTGATTTTTCTGTGTATTATACTTTGAACTCTATCTATTGCATTTTTTTAATAATTGAAAAATATCTTTGTAATATGGAATGTGACTATCAGCTATATTTCTTAGAAAAATGGATGGCTTGGAAGACATTTTAAATAGGTTGTCATGTAAATCATTTCAATCATGCTATTTTTTTATTTTATGAATATCTCTAATTTTAACATAATTCTCAGGAAATACTACCATATTATTTATTCTCACAGGCCAAAAGAATAAGGACATTTTGTCAATCTTTCTTACTAATCTGAAACACTTAACATTTTGTTTTACTGATGGCGGAGTTGTTCAGGGCTACCTTCCTTAGCTCTTTCAAATTCCTCTTGAATATTTTTATATATTTTCTAAGGAACATGCCTTTTCTATCAGCATGGGTTTGATTAATTTTGAGAGATTTATAATCTAGTCTCAGTGAAAACTGTGTATGGATAATCAACAGTGTCTGTAGCAAAACTAGTTATCTGATTGAAAACAAAAGTCAAAATGCATTTGGGAGCTGTTTTCTGGTGACACGTGTAGTTGGCAAATTGCAGCCAGAAAGATATTCCACAAGGTAACAGCCTAAAGTTCAGCGTATCACCAGGTCATCTCTTGCAAATTGGGAAAAAAAAAAGTGTTATGTGCACACATAGATATTTATAATTTAGATATTTATAATTTTTTCTGTTTTGTACATGTGTGTGTGTGCATGTTTTATATACATTTTTTTGTCTTTCTGGAGGAGGGTAAAGGGAGAGCCTTGAAAAGTCCTTCCCTGCTCTTATCAACGTAGCAGCCTCAGCTGCCCTCCTTGGATCCCCTGCCAGCGTTGCTATCATCTTCTGATCAAATATTAATGTGTGATTCTCTGCTTGCTCACTAATCCAAAGCCAATTAATATTATCTGTCAATTATTTACAGATCCTGAGGTGCGGAGGCAATTCCCAGAGGACTACAGTGACCAGGTTTGGAATGCGTAATTAATTTTTTACATGACAAAATTTATTTAAGGGTTGTTCAACATATTATTCCTGCTCTTTTTACTGAAAGAGATAAATACATTCTTAGAAAGAAAGAGAAGCTTTAATTAAAGAGCAGAGGATAAAAACGTATTTTTCACATTTAGAGCAGAAAACAGAAGAATTTTGGATCTCATAAGACTGTTTTACAATCTAGTCTTTACAAGCGAACATGAGAGCGGGAAGGAAAATTGATTAATAAATTTCACTTTTTGCCTTTAGGTGCCACAGTCTGCAGTTCATTTGGCAGTCCTCACCTCATTGTCTGAAGGGTTTATGACTATATTTAACTGGGCACCTGGCACTACAGTGCATTTTTTAAATTCTTGCCTGATCATGCAGTCTCTTTAGTCTATTTCAAAATGATAGTTATAAAAATATGAATGTGCAAGTAGAGCGCACAGGAATTTATCTTCTAGCTTGTACACAGATTGAATCTGGAATTTTTCACAGAATCTGTAGCTGATGTTGAAATTAACAACTTCAAGTTACCTTGTATTTTACTATGTCTCATTAGTAGTGGATTGGGGCGGGGGTCAGAGGTTAGAGAGAGAGGATTATTACTGTGGTGTCTATAAGTACTGCTGAAGTTAATGCACTGTTTTTGTTTGTTAGTGTTTAGGGTAGCTCCTGTATTTCAGTTGTGATTGCAAGTTGATTTCTTGCACCTTTATTTCTGGGAAGTGCCGAAGTTATAGCACTATATAACTATTTAATATAACAATAAATTTTGCCCCATTGAGCCCCTGATTTTAAGTTAGGGTCGACAGAGCTATTTCGTTTTGAATCTCGTCCCTTTAATTACTTTTTCATGCAATATGAAATTTTGTGGAGTTTAGTCTATCAAGTTTAACAATTGTTAGACATGATAGCTCATCAGGGCAAGAACAAATGTTTTCATATGTAGCTGTTATCACCCAATGCAATGAGACCTTGACCGGGGCCTCTGGGTGCTTTTGTTGTAGTAGTAGTAGTAGTAATCCTTTTTCAAAGCAGCTATTCAAGTACCTGACTGCTTCTCACTGGAGTTTATCATTAAGGCTTCTTTTAGACATAAAATATAGCATGGAAGTTAAAAAACTTTGTGGGGGGGGGAGGCTACAGCCTTATTGTCACTGTCTGTGTGTAATTTAGGAGTAAATAGATCCATAAGTTTTTAGTTGCATGATAAACTCTGATGTGCTGAAAAGTCGTTAGTCTACCAGGTCAGTCATATGCAGATTAATGGTCCTTCAGCGCTGGTACAGTCAATTGTGTCCACGTTTAAGGTAATACAGGAGTGTCATGTACATAAAATTTATTTTATTTGATAAAATTATTAAAGCTTCTCTCCCTTCTCCTGCAAATAATTAGACTTTTATAATATTGTGATGAATATGTAAGACTGAATCAAACTCAGAGGAACCACAGGCTCATGTATAATTCTTAAGATGTTCACCCCGTTACAGTCAGGATTTCCTATTTCTGATTTCAGACTCCACAAAGTGCATGGTATTTTTTATGGGAGGGGTGGAGAGGAATGTGTTGGAATTTAAAATTATCAGATATTTTTGTATGTAGGAAGTTTTAGGATAAGCCAAAAAAAGGACCCTAAACTTTTCAAACTTAACGTAGATTTTAAAAACACTTTCTTGATGCACAGAAACAATATTTACTTTGTCAAGAGTAGCAGTACATGCTTTAAGAAGAAAACATTCAGAGTTAGAAGAGTTAGGTTTGAAAAATCAAGTGATTTTGTGAATATTATACTTGTGAATATTCAAGGAGGCAAGGGAGAAAAGAAGTAGAAAGGAAGAGCTACATCCGTGTTTTTCCTGGCTTAACGTAGAGCTCTGATAAATGCATTGGCTGCAAATCAATGAAGCAAATTTATTTATTTATTTTAGAAAAAATTTTTTAGAATTACTAGGATAAGTCATTTAAGATTAAGATGCACACAAAAAACCTCCCCTTTATATGTACCTATTTTGCATGGCAAGGAGAGATATGATATGCATGTTATTGCTAGAAATAATTTTTTCTTCAATCAAACATTTATGATTTAATCCAGAAGGAATATTTGAGTTAAATCAACACAAGATAAAGCACTTATTAGTAAGAAAAAAAAGAACCCTCAATTTTTTTTTCTTTTTATTCATCTAAACTATCAGTGCTTGTTTTTACATACAGTGTATTTCCCATGTACCAGCACATCTGATCAGAGACCCTCGCTGCTGCTAGATGTTTTATTCTGTGTGTTCTTTGTACCTTACAGTAAAAGAATCTGTCACAAATTATTGTGCCTCACTGCTTTAGAAACTGAGAAAAAAGGGAGGTTAGATTGACATCTGTGACTGAATAATGATGACCAGCCTTTTGGCTCCCCTTGAGCCACAAAGCTAGCATTGCCTTTAGAGAGGAAAAAGGAGTAAGAAGAAAGGGGAGGGATAAAAGAGAGTTACAAATCTGTGGTCCCGGAGATGTATTACTGTTGGGCCAGTTGTCTGCGTGGTATGATAATCCATTTTGATCTTCTGTCTTAATTGTCTGCTAAAGACAAATGGGCAGTAAAAGTTCATCAGTTTCATCTTTTGCTTCTCATTTAGAGACAGAATAAATGATCCATTGCTACAGAAGAAACCTTTCTTTCTGACACGGAAGTAATGCAGACCCAACACGTTTTATTAAAATATTTCTCCCTCATTATTTCAGTACTCTCAGCTCTGATAGATCTTACTGTTTCATGAAAAATGTAATCTGAAATGTAAATAAGGGGTTTGATACAAAGTAAGGAAGTAATGAGCAGGCTAACCACATTGTAGGAATTTTGATAGTAATTACTGACAAAGTGAGTTCTGCATATCCTGATTTTCTTTTTTTTCCCCCCTCAAGTTGTCTTTGACACGTTCGGACCACAATGACACCTATGGTTTAAATCTGCTAAATAACTGTATTACCGAATATTTTATAGACAATTTCATAGACAAAGTATCTTAGGAGCCTTACTAGCAAAAGAAACTGCTAATGATTGCTCCAGGCCACTTGAAATGGTTAAAACTAGGGTGTTTTGGTTTTTTTGAATAGGGAGGCTGAAGTAATTTTGAGATATATTTTAAAATATAAGAGCATATTAACTTGGGGTGTTTTATAATAGTTTTTAAAAACTAAATGTGTACTTATGTATCTTTATTTTAAATACCATGAAATAGAGTAGTAGTTTGCCTTTTAGTAACAGTTTTGAAGTGCTAGTTTTGTAACAAAACTCTTAGAATTTAAAGCAGCAGAGGGCTGCTTATTTTTTAAATTAATTCTTAGTAATTCAATATACAATTCCATCTCTATAGCTAGAAGTCTCTTAAAAAAATCAACAGTCTAGCAGAGAAGTATTTGTGGATTCCTGCAATTTCTTCATTGGATTCCTAATAAAGCTGTGTAATGAAGTTCACTTTTAAAAGGTGAAATACTGTGCTATTGGATTATAATAAACATGAAATTATGGCCAGGATGCTTCATTCATATCACTATATGAACTTTGGCTGTGCAGTATTTTAAAGATTCATCCAAAAATTGGATGAATTTGGACATCCAAAAATTGGCTGTCCTGGGATAATTAATTTTACTGCAAAGAAATTTGTTTCTGTCAGAAAGAATACTTCAGCAACTGACTTACAATTAGTGGAAGGTGTAGCAGGGACTACACAATTCTGTAAAGTGCAATGTATTATTAAAGTGGCTTTTTTTAACCCATGCATCATTCCGTTTCTTACTATTTCAATCTTTATAGCTCATCTGGAAGGGAAATAAAAGTCATTATGTGGTGATAGTTCCCATTTGTGAGCTGCTTCAAGTGGTTATGATAACAAACTTGTCTATACTTTGATGAAATATTGCATGCATCCATTAATTACTGTATGAAAGATTGAGGTATGCATGTTTGCAAGCTGATACTTATGCAGATTGCTACTTCTGTTCTGCAGGTAATTTTTCTTTCCACTAGCGTTGAGAGAGAGGTTCTAATGAAACCAACAATCCTTATACATTTATAGAAACTATAAAACTTTTATAGCGGTCTTTATATAGAAAATAATGGTCTTTCTTGTACAAACTCTGTAAGCATTGTAGAAACATTGCACACAGGGAAACATAAAAAGCCCCCTTTCTTTGTATCCTTATAAGAGTTATGTGACTGGAGAGTATTTATACAGTGTTGACCATAAATGGAGCATAAACATCCATCTTGCAAAATTCGTGTGTGCTAAGAGGACTTTGTTACTTGAACAAGGTTGCTTATAATTCAATTTGATATTTCTGAATTGCACATAACCACCGAAGTAAAAAGTTTTTGTCTCTTTACTGGCTACATACCCTTCACAATACAACCTACCTTGACAGCAACTTAAAATAATAGCTGTTCTTTCAAAAGTGGATGAAGAAGTTGGATTGGAAAAGTTGAGTAATTAGTCATTTAGAAAAATCTAGAATAAAAGAGGTTATAGTGTTCTGAAAGCTACTTCAGAGTGAAACCATGATAGTATAAATGGTAACTATGTGAAGTATTTGGTAATCTCAGCTTGTGTAGAGTTACCTATTTCATCATACAGGGAGTCCTTTTAAATGGAAGCCTAATAAAGCTTAAAGTAAGATAGTCATAAATATTTTGCGTGTACAGTGACCCCTATTGACTAGGTAGTGGTAAAATAAGAGCATGAATGGAAATCTTTGTATGGAGTAGGCGAGCAGCCTGTGCAGTGTGTAAGGAGGTCACCTTGTCCTTTGTGTGTGGATAATAGAGCTGCTATTTCACTAGAGCGTTCTGGAGACAACTTAACCCATGCGGACAAAGCTTTGGTTCAAGGCCTAAAAAACAGTGGATAGGAACATCAGAAACAAGGACTAAACCATAGGCTTTGGCTTTAGATCTGAATATTTTCTGAAATTAGGCCATTTTTCTAGACCAGAACTATATC